CACCCCCCCCGGAAGCTGGACACAGCCCATTTCCCAACTTCCGATGGGACCAGAAGGCCCAAAAATCATCTGGCCAGCGCACGCATGCGTGCTGGAGCTGAGCTATGGCAATGTTTGCATGCCCACTGATATGGCTCCATGTGCCACCTGGGGCACCCGTGCCATAGGTTCGCCATCACGGCACTATAATGAGCTATAAACTAGCTCTACGATGAGTTTCACATAGTCTAAGAATATGAAAACAAAACTAAGCTAAAGCTAAGTATATATGGGACCACTAGACCTTTAACTGACTAGGTTAGGTCAGTTATATTCTATTACTCACATGGGAGTGTGTTTTCCTCCACAATCATAACAGCACTGACCTATCATCTTCCTTATTAAACATCTGAAACAAATTCAGTAAAAAAAAAATCAATGTAAGGGCAGATTCACAAGTGAATATGATACTATGTGTATATGTTTTTTGTACTTTTGCACAGGGATGTCACCAAATTTAAAATGAGGGGAGAAAAATTAACCAAGGGTCAGAGTTCAATAATAATAATATATAACATCTTCAGAGTGCTGGGAAATACTCCTGCCTGCAACCCTGAAGAGCCACTGCTGGTTTGTGCAGATGGGAGGTAGACAACCTGTTGCCCTCCAGATGTTTTGGATCACATCTCCCATTCGCTATAATCAACACAGACATTAATCAGGCGATATGAAAGCAGTCCAAAACTTCCATAGGAAATTATGTATCTTATCTAATTGTAGAGAATTATGATTTTTATATTCCTCATTTCCTTATTTTAAACTATCCACTTTTCATTTTAGCATAAGTCAATCAATATCTAGGTTTTATATGCACTATCTAAAACACCATCTGCCAAATCAGATCTTTCCAAATATGTTGGATTTCAGCTCCTATAAATCCCATCCAGCAGAGGACATATGGGAATTGAAATTTGTCACATCTGGAAGACACCAGGATAGGAAAAGGATAAATGGATACCATACAAACATCTGCACAGTTGTGAAGCTATTTGTGGTTCTATTGGTACCATACATTTGGGTTAGTTCAGCATGGGGAAAAAAAATGCTGAAATATTGCCAAGCTAAAAATTTTCAGACAGTTCTTCTTTGACAAAGTTTAAACACTGAAATTACAACCTAAGCATTTCAATTCTGCACAACAGCCAGTTATTGCAAGGAATTAAAAAAAAAAAACAGTATGTGGTCTGTTTAATGCTGTTAGAACAAACATGGCAGATATGAAACCCAGGGTTAAACAGTGAAGGAAGTTATCCTTGTTAAAATAAATACTTTGAAGAAAAGCTGTAAATAAGTTTACCAAGAATCTTGTAGTAGTTTTGGCAAAAGGAGTCGATTGTTGCTAAACTGAATGGTCTTCCAGCCAAATCATATCAACATTGATAATGGGATATGCAAATTTCATTGGATAAATACTAATACATAATTGTTTACAGTCAGACACGGGAATTTTCAGTTTGATTTGAATTGACAATTCAGTGTAAGAAGAGTTTTCAAATATTTATTTGTCTTTTTCCAATATAGGAACTTTTAAAAATAAAAAAGATTAAGATACATTTCTTCTAGATTAAACTAAGACCCTTACAATGTCAGTTTGCCAGTTAAATGTATTTCAGTTTCAGTCCCTTTCCAAAGTGTAAAGATTGTGTTTTGTGTGTCCGTGTATGTTTGTATATTTATCTCATGTTCTAATACTAAACAGTTTTAATGAATGTGATATATTACAGCGACAGCTCAAAAACACAGATAGACGCAAGTACTGGACAATGCTGCATATGTGTGTGATATATATCAAATGATGTCTTGGATCACAGCCACAGTAGCTGCAGTGTTTCTAATTTACTCATCTGCAGCAATGTGTTTTCAAACATTACTAGAAATGACAGCTTTAAAAAGTCATTCAGGAATATAAATCTGAACTTTAATGTGTTTCTTATTTTCAGTTACACATTCTTTGCTATTAAAATTACTGTATTGACAGCAACAATGAACCAAATGAACTAAAAAACCCAAGATTTGACAGCTGAAGGCCACAGAGATACCTGCAACACCCAAACAATTTTCATAGTTTCCGAAAGATTTCATTCATGCCAACCCAGAGTATATGGCCAAAAAGAGATTTAACTTAATTTGAAATAAAAGGAACACCCCCTCCCAGTGGTGAAATCTAAATTTTTTTTACTACCGTTCTGTGGGCATGGCTTGGTGGGCGTGGTATGGCTTGGTGGGTATGGCAGAGGAAGGATACTGCAAAATCTCCATTCCCACCCCACTCTGAGTCCAGCCAGAAGTGATATTTGCTGGTTCTCCGAACTACTCAAAATTTCTGCTATCAGTTCTTTGAACTGCTCAAAATTTTTGCTACCAGTTCTCCAGAACCTGTCAGTATCTGCTGGATTTCACCCCTGTCCATCCCCATTTAAACTCCCAAACCAAGGAAAACAATCAGAAATATCTTAATTTCCCAATCCCTGCAGCTATCACATCTGTAAAATGTTAAGTCAGACCCTGGGCATCAAAATTTTATCTTCCCTGGACTATGCAGAAACTGTTATAAAAAGTACTCAGAGAGTCCAATAGGAATGACTCATGCTTTATTCTATGGAATAACACTGCAGAAAGATATGTGATGTTTATCCACCTGCTAAACATTTTTAAGGCAACTCAAGGGAAACCTTTCCTCCACTTTCTAAATTTGGAGAGCCACTGAAGAATGCAAGTCTTTGAGATACGGTTTTGCTGTTAAGTGCCTCTTCATCACCTATTTTCTTTTAAAACTGATGGTCAGCTGCAAATCAAAGGATTCCACTGCTCTCCGAAGACTTATTTTTGTGTTTGCAAAGTTCAGAGGCAAAAGAGTGAGCTTAGTTCAGTCCCTAGTGGTCAACTGTAGAACACAAACCATTTCCTAGACGTGATTTTGCAAGGCAGTTCTTTTCAGAAGGAAAAAAAGGAAAGGAAAAGGAGAATCTTCTGCCTTGCAGAAAAGTTTGTGCAAACAGCTGCCAGTGGATGAATGAAGGAGTAGACTGCATCATATTTCAAGGTCTCACCCTTTGCATGAAAACCTCTTGCTAAAGTTGGATGTGCAGTTTCAAGATGCATCCCATACATGTTGAATTAGGAGTCACTCTCGTTAACTTCTGTGGGACTAATTCCCTCTTATGAAGAGAGAGAGGGAATGCGGTCCATCCTAGGAGAACCCATCTCATCAAAGCATGAGACACTTGAGGTTTCTACCAGAGCAATTCTTCCAATTGCTACCTCTATGTGGAAATGAACCAGGGCCACCCGACACCCTTTCAAATATATATATATATTTGGCAAGCCTATCTTGATGTGACTCAAAAGTACATGTTGTCATTTTTCAAATGCTTGAAAGTTTGACCGGCAAAAGAGCCTTGGTAGTACAGTGGTCTAAGGCATCCTGTTATTAAGCTGGTTATTAAGACCAGCTGCCTGCAATTACTGCAGGTTCAAATCTCGCCAAGGCTCAAGGTTGACTCAGCCTTCCATCCTTTCTAAGGTAGGTAAATTGAGGACCCAGTTGTGGGGGCAATAAGCTGACTTTGTATAAATATACAAAAGGATAAAGGCTATTGCTGAGTACATTGTAAGCTGCCCTGAGTCTCCGGAGAAAGGCGGCATATAAATCAAAATTAAAAAAAAAAAAAGGAGAAATGGGGCTTCCTCTCTGTGACTTCCCTCGGCGGAACAAGAAGAAGCAAATGCAAATCGGTAGGACTACATTTTGATTAAAAGTTTGGAACGAGAAATTTTACAAGGGGACCCAGACTGCCTGGGCAGCTGGAGGCTTTCAAACAGAGCTAGAGAGCCTTCTTTTCAGGGAGGTCCTTCTATGAGCTGTGGGCCTGGACTGGATGGCTTCCAACCCACTTCCAACGCTAGTATTCTATGATAGATTAAGTAAATAGTTACATGTTTGCCTTCTAAGAATGAAATCCTAGGAGTAAGTCCTATAAAACTCATTTGGAGCCCATTTCTGAGGAAGCATCCTGAACATATAGTGCTGCACATGCTTATTTTTTTTAACATTCATTTCAAGTTTCAGAGAACACATGATGCACCACTTTGGGGAGTGGGATAATTAATGAAGAGTGTGTGGAACGCACAACACCGAGGAAGCCTCTAAATGTTCATGTAGTTTCTTAGAACTGCCAAACTGATTGCAAACCACTTAGGAAGGGGCCACCACAAGCCTGATTCAAAATATGAGCAGCTCTTAAAATTAGAATTAATTATCAGTTCTCCTGAGTTGGGTTTTTTTTTTTAATGCTCCTGTTTTTACTATATTTCTACACATAGTAGATAGGCACAGTGTTTCCTTTCAGCCAAGCATTTCCACTGAAGCACACATCTAACATTGCTAACATGCAGCAAGTTTTTGCTTGAATGAATCCAAAAATTATAAGAGGAGTCCTACGGTTTATCTCTGTGCTGCAATGCACTAAACAGTTAATTTTACTTACAACCATTCATTTCTGAGCTAGCACAGTGTCAAAGGTTGTTTCAGTGATAATGGTTTCTGCTAACCTTTGGTGTTTGAAAGTAGCTTTGTTTTTAATATATTTTTTTTAAAAAAATATCTTTATAATAAGAGCCTACAGACAAAAAATACTGACCACAGATATTTCAAATAACATGGAAATCATTCCCAACCTTGTAGAATGTACATGTTACTTTTAACAATCAGCACATCAAGCTATTCACCTGGCCATTGATCATTAGCTGCCTCGGCTGAATGCCCCTGAATTTCTTTAAATCAGTTTGAAACCAACAAGCCAACATCTGCCAATCAGTCATCAAACTTTTGTTGCCAGTTATTCTCACTGAATTTCAGAGTGTTCCTAGTTGATGAGGGCAGCAAACGTAACATCTCCATCGGAATGCATCATGCAGGAATCAATACAGGTGTTTGAGCAGCTCCAAATGGAAGAACTTACCTTTTGTAGCCACTGAGTGTAATTTTCCATGACATGCTCCAGCCGCTGCAGTTTCTGGGAGGGGAAATCTGTCTCCATGTGAGGGGCATCCCTTTGCAGCGCATTGGTGTTGTATTGGTCAGAAGAGCTTTCACGACAGTTTCCATCCTGTTCAGGAAGTATGAATGTGTAGGTGCACTGGCCATGCTGAATCCGATTATACCTTCGTCCATTGGACTCCGGAGCCCGGCGTGGACTAGTGCAGTTGATGTGCTTCAGAAGAGAAGCAAGGAACACAAACCAAACAAAAATGATCATGTTACTAGCCCTCTTCTGTCCTGCTCTTGACACCTTGATCCAAACCTCCTCTTCTCTCCTTTGCCTTCCTTTCCCTCCCCCTCCCTCTGTTTAATGTTTGCTTTGCCTTTAAGGATTTCTTTAGGGGATAAAAAAGATAAGGAAAAAGGGAAGAAGGTTCAGAAAATAATAGTGAGCTTTCCTTTAAAAAAAGAAAAAAGATTATATCTAAATCTCAATGCTTCCTTAGCTAAAGCAGGAGCAATTTATTGCATAGTAGCAGAGATTTATCGTTTCCTCTCTGTTATACTTCAGCATGCAGTCTCCTGGACTCAGCTGCCCAGGCATAGCCTCCCCGAGTCTTTCTTCTACTCTAGCTGCCGCTGAACTGCTATTTTGTCGGAGACCTCAGCGTGTTTTATTAAGGTTGTACATTCAAGCCAAGTTGGAAGCTGGCAGCCTTTCACAAGATGACTTGACAGGAATGTGTGTGTGAGTGTGTCAGGGATGCCTGATGCATTTGGCAAAGAGGGATCATCTTACACGCTGGCTCGAAACATGCCCTCCAACATGTACGCCTGCTTAGCTCCTCCTGCACACAAGCTGACTGAGACCGTTTGCCTAAGCTGAACAAGTCCGACAGTCCACCTTAATAGACTTCCTACTTGGAGACTGAACTATTAAAATGTACTTAGAGGGACCAAGCTTGTTGTAATCCCTCCCCAGTAAACATTAACATACAGACCACTGCACATGGAAAATATCTGCTGCTATCCTGGAAGGGTTAGGAGACTGTGTGTGACTCTCTTCGGAAATGCTAAATTGGGGAAGGAACTGAGAAATGAAGGAATAAAGGGTGAGATTGCCAGTGCAGCAAGATTCTTTCTCTTACTTAAGGCACAGGAACTTTGCTATATCAGAGATGGGTCATCTAAGGTGTTGAAACAATTCTTAGGAAAAAGTCATTGCAAGGTAATGTCTTTGCATGTTGCTAGACTAAAAACGTGCTTGCATAGATAATGTGGGAAATGCAAGTGATGAGATTTTTTTCCTCCATAGAATAGAATAGAATAGAATAGAATAGAATAGAATAGAATAGAATTCTTTATTGGCCAAGTGTGACTGGACACACAAGGAATTTATATATTACAGCACATGGGAGATTTTAAACTGGGAAACATAATAGCAGTTTATAACTCTTAATATACAAGGTCCCTATTGAGACTATGCTTAGTGCATATTCTCTCGGTGTACATAAAATAAAAGATACATTCGTCAAGAATCATAACGTACAACACTTAATGATAGTCATAGGGAACAAATAAGCAATCAAATCCTATTAGAAAACAGTGAATATAAATTTAAGGATACCAGCAACAAGGTTACAGTCATACAGTCCCTTGACTGTATGATAGGAATGATAAGAAGATTAATAGTAATGCAGACTTAGTAACTAGTTTGACAGTATTGAGGGAATTATTTATTTAGCAGAGTGATGGTGTTCAGGAAAAAACTGTTCTTGTGTCTAGTTGTTCTGGTGTGCAGTGCTCTATAGCTTCGTTTTGAGACACTTTATGTCCAGGATGTGAGGGGTCTGTAAATATTTTCACAACTCTCTTTTTGACTTGCACAGTATACAGGTCCTCAATGGAAGGCAGGTTGGTAGCAATTGTTTTTTCTGCAGTTCTAATTTTCCTCTGAAGTCTGCGTCTGTCTTGTTGGGTTTCAAATACTGAGACATTGATAACATGAACTTTATGGACCTGCATAAGTAGTACAGCTATACTTCAAGCTTTGGGGATATCAATTTCCCCTTGCGTACTCTTTTGTATGTGTCTTTTTAAACAGGAGAGATGCCTAAAGCCACAATGACAGATCCCTCATTCCACTTGCAATCAAGTATCTCCTGCATTGCACAGGATTACAAGCAAGAGATATTGAGTTTCACACCCCATCAATTTAAAGAATTATCCCACCATTGCTGTGACAATATACTATAACTTCAGCTTCTAAAGTATTATATTAACACTGTGATGGCTGGACAATGCTACAAACTATGAATGTGGATAGTCTGATACCTTGATTTATTTATTCTCTATATATCTAGGTTGGGAGCCCAAGGCAGAGTAGAAAGCATCTCCCAATTTTATCCCTTAGAACAACCTGTGTAAGTCATTGGGCTGAGAGACAATAACCATCTCAAAACCCCATAATGAACTTCATGATGAGGTAGAAACATCTGGATCTTCCCAGTGCAAAGAAAACTTCACCACAACAACACATTGGCTGTCAGTAGAGTGTACAACTAATGCTACCAACCTATGGTTTGAATTAGGGTATGATGTTTCTGCCACCAGTACTTCTTTCTTTTTATCAGTATCCCAGTATCATGTAGCCAATTTCATGGTGTCATGTCCAGTAGTAACTTCTACAGAATGTCTATAGAGATTCTCAGTCATCCAGTTCATAGTTATCTCAAAGATGCTTTTTCAAGAGGCAATTGGACTTTCTTGGTTTTTTTTTTTCCCCCCCTTTGGACATTTTGCTTCTCATCCAAGAAGCTTCTTCAGTCTTCAAAGAAAAAATTCTTCAAAGACAAATTCCTTGTGTGTCCAATCACATTTGGCCAAGAAAGAATTCTATTCTATTCTTTAAAAAAACCCAAGAAAGTCCAATTGCCTCTTGAAAAACACCTTTGGGACACCTTCTACAGAAGTTCTTTTCATGTCAGCATTAAAGTTGTGTATATTAAAGCAGTGTGGCAGAACATGTGGGTATGTTTCATGACATAACTATGGGGAATAAGTGCTTCTTGGGAGAGAAAAATGGAGTATGATATGGACAGAGATTTCATTCCCCTCCCCTGCTCCCCCCAATATTCCAATAATGGGAGAATGGAATGAATATTCCTGGTTGGAAACTAATCAAGGAGAGAAGCAACCTGAAATTAAGGAGAAATTTTCTAACAGTGAGAACAATTAACCAATGGAACAGCTTGCCTTCAGAAATCGTGGGCCTTTCATCACTGGAGCTTTTTAAGACAAGACTCGACATCACTTGTCTGAAATTGTATAGGGTCTCCTGCTTGAGCAGGGGGCTGGACTAGAAGACCTCCAAGGTCCCTTTCAGCTATGTTCTGTTCTCTTCTATTTATATGCTTGATTGAAATATGCTTTCAATCAGCTGATTTCAAGGAGTTGTTCAAGCATGAAAAAACAGTATTAATGTATGGTTCTTTATGCCACTGGGTTAGCGGTGTAGCTAATTATGTGAATAGATTTCCATGCATATATAGTCAAGATTTCCATGCATATATATAGCTGCGTCGGCTAGAGGGTTTGAGAGTGGGGGGCACCGTTTTATGGTGGTTCTCCTCCTTCCTCTCTGACCGTATGCAGTCTGTGTTGATGGGAGGGCAGAGGTCGACCTCGAGGTTCCTCACTTGTGGCGTGCCGCAGGGATTGGTTCTCTCGCCCCTCCTGTTTAACATTTATGTGAAGCCGCTGTGCGAGATCATCTGTGGCTTTGGGGTGAAGTGTCAACTGTATGCCTATGACATGCAGTTGTACATTTCAACCCCAGGCCACCCCAATGATGCCCTTGACATGATGTCCCGTTGCCTGGAGGCCATGCGGATCTGGATGGGGAGGAACAGGCTCAGACTCAACCCCTCCAAGACTGAGTGGCTGTGGTTCCCAGCGTCCCGATATAGCCAGCTTATACCATCTCTGACTATTGGGGATGAGATCTTGCCCCCCTCAGAGAGGGCTTGCAACTTGGGCATCCTCCTGGACTCATGGCTGTCTTTGGATGATCATATGATGGCCGTGGCTAGGAGAACTTTTTATCAGGTTCGCCTGATTTCCCAGTTGCGCCCCTTTCTGGATCGGGATGCCTTGCGCACAGTCACTCACGCCCTCGTCACTTCCCGTCTGGACTATTGTAATACTCTCTACATGGGGCTCCCCTTGAGGAGCACCCGGAGGCTCCAATTGGTCCAGAATGCGGCCGCGCGAGTAGTAATGGGGGCGACCCGTAGCTCCCATGTAACACCACTCTTGTGCGAGCTGCACTGGCTCCCGGTGGTCTTCCGGTGCGCTTCAAGGTGTTGGTTACCATCTTTAAAGCGCTCCATATCTTAGGACCTGGCTATCTACAAGACCGCATTCTGCCACCGATTGCCTCCCACCGACCGGTACGCTCACACAGAGAGGGCCTCCTCAGGGTGCCGTCAGCCAAACAATGTAGACTGGTGACCCCCAGGGGGAGAGACTTCTCTGTGGGGGACCCTGCCCTCTGGAATGAATTACCCCCGGACATACGAAGGATCCCTGACCCCCGCACCTTCCGTCATGCAGTGAAGACCCTGTTATTCCAGCAAGCCTCTCTGATGGGATAAATGATTTTAATTTGGTTTTAGTGGGGTTTTAAAATTGGTTTTAAAATGAGAGTTTTAAATTCAGCCTATGATTTAATTATTTTAATCTGCTCTTAAATTCTATTTGTGTACATTGTTTTTATTATGGCTGTTCACCGCCCTGAGTCCTTCGGGAGAAGGGCAGTATATAAATAAAATAAAATAAAATAAAATAAAATAAAATAAATAAATAAATAAGTAGATGGGTAGAAACATATGAGAAGGTTCCCAGGATGAGGGACAATCTATTTTCCAAACCCTCCCCCCCACTCCAAAGGCCAGACAAGGAACAATGGATGGAAATTTATCAAGGAGAGATTCAACAATTAACCATTGGAGCAGCTTGCCTTCAGAAGTTGTGGGTGCTTCATCACTGGAGGCTTTCAAGAAGGGACTGGGCAGCCACTTGTCAGAAATGGTATAGTGTCTCTTGCTTGAGCAGGGGTTGGACTCGATAACCTACAAGGTCCCTTCTAACTCTGTTATTCTGTATTCTCCACAAATTGACTAAGCACACATTTCTCACTTGCATAGAGGAATCTTCAACATTATTTCAATGTTACAAAATAGCAAAGTTGTTTTGCACAACTAGATCAACTATCAATCAGAGAGTTTTCCGTGCTTGTGTATTTTTTAGCAGCTTTCAAACTATACATTGGAAAATCCCAAATCTTCCCAAGGAGTGTGGTTGATGCAGCCTCTGAACTGGTATACATTTTCAGTAGAACTGTGTAAACAATCAAGGATGTCGTTATTTAATTTTGCTTTCTGCTTTTCTACTGTAACTATTACATAAATGGTACATAACCAATATATATCTTTTCTAGTTTCATAAAAAATAAGCAAAAACAACTATTTTTTAAAAAAAAAAGAAAGGAAAGGAAATTCTGGCTTAAAAAGTTTTTTCACCCACAACATTTAGGTCTCCTAGACACAGTTCCACACCAGCTGACATCACTCCTTTTATAAAATTATGTTGAGTAAACTTCCTCTTCAACAGGCAACAGGTCTGTAGAGATTCTCAGTCATCCAGGTTAACCCTAACCCTAATGAAAAAATGGATGGATTTTCTCAACCCATCTTGTCTTT